AGAGTCTCACTCAGTCACCCTGGGCAGAGTGCCATGGCATCAGAGATCACAGCAACCTCAAACTCTTGGGCTCAAGAGATCCTCTTGCCTCAGCCTCCCAGCCACCCACCACAATGCCCAGCTAGTTTCTCTCTTTTTTGTACAGACAGGTCTCGCTCTTGTTCAGGCTAATTTCAAGCTCCTGAGCCTAAGCAATCCACTGGCTTCAGCCTCCCAAAGTCCTAAGATTAAAGGTATGAGCCACTGTTCCCAGCTAAAAGGGGGGAATCCTATACTCTTTAAATAGGAAGAATTTAAAAAAACCCTAAAACCTCTCATTTATAATTTACCCACAAATTCATTACATAAATAAAATTAATAAAAGATTGGGAACTCAGTTTGTTTTTCTGAGATAGAGTTTTACTCTGTTTCTTGGACTAGAGTGGAGTAGCATCACGATAATGCACATCAGCCTCATACTCCTGGACTTGAGAGATCCTCCTGCCTCAGCCTCCCAAGTAGCTAGGACTACGGGTATCCATCACTATGCCCAGCTAATTATTCTATTTTTTTGTAGAGACTGGGTCTCTCTCTTGCTCAGGCTAGTCTCAAACTCCTGACCTCAGGTAATCATCCCACCTAATCCTCCCAGAGTGCTAGTACAGGTGTAAACCATGACACCCGGCCTCAATTTGTTTTTTCATCACCCACAAGTAACTATAAACAATGAGAAAACAATGCTTTAGCATCTTTCATGAGATGCAAAAATAGAAAGTTAGAACTATCAAATATATCATAGCAAATGCTAAAAATTACCTTACCCTGAATCCACTCTTGTCTCTTCTTCTTATCTGAAGCACTGATTTCAAAGGTCTTATCAAGACATTTTATGAGAAAAAGGCATTTCTTTCCATCTTTGTCAGGCAAGGACTAAAATAGAGAGCAAAATTAGTTCTTTTAAATTTTAAAGTATTTAAATTCAATTCGATCTTAATTGTTTATACAGTTCTGGCCCATTGAAACTCAGTGTAAATGAAAACTACCTGTAAATGCATATTATTGAGTTACTAATGCTGTTCTTTAGGCAATATTGTTTATATACATGTAATTAACAATGAACTCTGGCTGAGTTCAGTGGCTCACACCTGTAATCCTAGAACTCTGGGAGGTCAAGGCAGGAGGACGGGTTGAACTCAGGAGTTCAAGATCAGCCTGAGCAAGAGCGAGACCTGGTCTCTACTAAAAATAGAATAAGTTAGCCAGGCACTGTGGCAGGCACTTGTGGTCCCAAATGTTCTGGAAGCTGAGAAAGGAGGATCTCTTGAACCCAGGAGTTTGAGGATGCCGTGACCTAGGCTTTGGCCATGGCACTCTAGCCTGGACAACAGAGACTGTCACAAAAAACAAACAAACAAATAATGAACCCTGACTGGTATATTACATCTGGACTGTGAGAACTAGAAACCTCTTTTAGGAATGCTATGCCTTAGGCACGCCAACCACAGCCACTCTTATATCTGAGCACATCCCTGGCAGGAAACCTGTAGTCTCAAATGTGGCATTTGGGACCACAGGTGCCTGGCTAAGTATATCTATTGAGCTATTACAAGAAGTATTGATTCCTACAGGATATAAGGCATCTAAGTGAGAGTGATTCTTTTTTTCTTTTCTTTTTTTTTGAGACAGAGTCTCACTTCGTCACCCTCAGTAGAGTGCCATGGCATCATATCTCACAGCAACCTCAAACTCTTAGGCTCAAGCAATTCTCTTGCCTCGGCCTCCCAAGTAGCTGGGACTACAGGCGCCCATCATGACGCCCGGCTGTTTTAAAGATGGGGTCTTGCACTTGCTCAGGCTGATCTCCTACATCTGCCTATTGTGCCTTCCTCTCCATTCCTAGGATGCTGTGGCTGGCAACCTGCAGTTCCTGTCCCATACCCTTACATATAATCTATGGAAATTTCGTGGGTCTCTGTGTTTAGCTAAGTCTAAGATCGTGCCTTTATGGGCATTGCACACCTCAATACATTAATACATGGGTCATTACAAAAGTTTTGAGATACACAAATATTCAGAAACATAAGATCTTCACAGATGGAAACAAACGAAGCCCTCCCAGTATCACTGATGAGCCAAACAGCTGAAATGTGCACAGGTGAATCAAAAAGGACATTGTCAACTGTGCTTCTCGGAAGTAAAATAATGGACCAGGGCAGAGTCTGTCTCAAAACTTTCATAGCGACCCAGGGCTATCTCATTTCATTCACCAAAATACATTACAGTTTATGAGTGAGCACTTACGCATTTAAATGTTCTTCAGACATGGGAATAGTTCATATAAAAATTGAAAACTCAAAGAATTATGTTCTTGAGAACGTCACTTCTTTACAGAATTAGTAACTATATCTAAGGTGTCCTAAAAGTTACACTAAGTACTGGCCGGGCACGGTGGCTCACACCTATAATCCCAGCATGTGGGAGGCTGAGGCAGGTGGATTGCCTGAGCTTACAGGTTCAAGACCACCCTGAGCCAGAGCAAGATCTCATCTCTAAAAATAGCTGGATGCTTTTTTTTTTTTTTTTTTTTTGAGACAGAGCCTCAAGCTGTCTCCCTGGGTAGAGTGCCGTGGTATTACAGCTCACAGCAACCTCCAACTCCTGGGCTCAAGCGAGTCTC